GCGTGACAGTGCGTCTCTCCACCTTTGCTCCTTGATGAACATGACCCATACCTTGACTAGGTGAGTATAATTTTGTGAGGAAGCTACACCGTGAAGAATGTAATCAAGGCAACGATGGACACGATCACGAAAAAAACCGTGATGAAACGTACGGTGACGAAGTGTGGAATCTCGCCGAACAACGAGATTATTATCATAATAAAGTATGGTCGAGACAGCGACAATGACTAAGAAAAGTAGTGTGATTGCCACAACAATCTTAGTGACAAACGCAAGCATCATGATAGTGATCACCGCCAACTGAGCTTGAAACTTCCTTTATAATTTTGAAAGATGCATCACCTACTCCTGCTTATCTTCTCTTCTTTTGCGCAACTTTTTTTTCCCTCATTTCCTCTCCTATAACTAACAATCTCACTCACGAATTAAAGGTCACCCACCCCGAAAACAGCAATTTTACAATCCGCTCGACAAGGGGTGGGTATACCTTCCGCCACTCCGCGTTTAACTTCCTCATGGTCATCGTCCCCTTTGTCAGATTCCTCCTCTCTCTCTTTTCGCCATCCCCGTTGTCGAGTGCATCAGCCCCAGCCCTTTTCCTCTCAAAGAGACGTGAGTCATCCCGGCCATGTCACGCATGAGTTAAACAAAAACAAAACAAAGAGAAAACTTGGGGATGACGCATAAATAATCCCACGAGCCGCCGAGATGGCCGTGGTCGCGTCGTCCCTTCGTCGCTCTAGTCGGGTGTGCAAGTTGTACATCCCACGGTCCCCTACGACAAGATAGGCTTCTGCGAGGCATAAACTTTCTTCCCTAAGGGGCTATCACCACCCTTAGGGACATATCCCCACCGTGCTACTGACCCACGTGCGAAAGTTTTTTCATGTAATCGCAGAGGTGAATCGGTCGATGGCGTTTGCTCGCTCGGTGTAGTATAAATACAGGCGATTAAAATGCCTATTGAACCCGTACGTCGTTCGTCACTTAAACCACCAGTACCTGGCCCAGCTATCGAGTCCGAGCCTCTGCCGACCAGTACGCCGATCCGTGCCGAGGCTCGGACAACCGGGGGCATGCATCCCGAACGTCAATATGCAAACGAACGAAAAAAACGAAAAAAAAAAAAGAAATAAGAATAATGAACAAGTTCATTCTTCCCGAACTGCTTCGGAATTCATTCCGACTTTTGCGCAAAGAGAGAGAGAGAGAGAGAGAGAGAGAGAGAGAGAGAGAGAGAGAGAGAGAGAGAGAGAGAGAGAGAGAGAGAGAGAGAG